GTTTAAATTCACCAATGCACTCCAGTAACAGCAAGGCACAGATAAGTTACTCCAGAGCCAGACTAGCACCAGGTGTAACCACTATTTTCCATAACTGCAGAAGAGCTGCACCTCCTCCCCTCAAGGATTTGCACATTGTCTTGCATTGCTTTACAATGCAAAGATTGGCAGATAACACTGCTCTCCCTCTATAAACACATTTGTATGTGAAACCTCTTTTGTTTGAGACTACTTCAGAGAGCTTTTTCAGAGAACCAACATTTCTTTTCGAACTGCTGCATGTTTGTTTTCAACTTCTGACTATTATTAAAAGAAAGAACTTGATTCTTTCCCAGCCATGAAACAATTATATTAGTCTAAAAATGTCACTAATACCAACATCTATTAGTTAAAAATGAAAAGGAGAAAAACTAAGCAGAAAGAAGAGCAAGCAGACTGGCAAGGGCTTTTGGAGTACGAAGCATACATATTTATTTAAAACATTCACTGAGAATTTTAGTTTTTCTGGCAACAAATTTCAAGAACATACGTGAGGACAGAGGTCTAAGATGGGCAGGAAAATCCCACCCTTCTGCAGAAGTCTTAGGTACAACAAATATTCTTGTGAGAGATATCCTTGGCTTGATTATGATTATATGATTCAGTGTCTGAAAAACCTAGATCTGATGCCTTAAAGATCAAGGTACTTCTTTGTCTCTGGTGCTTCTAAGGCAAGGAAAGGGACACACTCCAACCCCCAAATATATATAGATACTTTTTTGCTTTCCATGAAGCTTGAGTAGAAACCACAGAGTTCTGAAAACAAACAGAGCAAAATCTTCTGCAGCTACCTATCATTCCTACAGAAGAACAGAATCTGAAAACCAAAATCAAATAGGATAAAACCAGCATCTCAGTAAAAACAACACTAATTATTGGTATTGGTCTGTCTCATTTTGCAACATATGCTCTTAGATAAAATTCTTCTGCAGGTCTCAAAAAGCCATGAGCAGGACTGGAAATAACTCCTCCTACACAGTGCTCAAAAAAACCCCAAACACCTGGCACAGACAGCTCATTGATGGCAGAGCAACAGCTCAGTGAAGAGGAGAACAGTACATTGCTTTAGGTGATCTACTAGCATCTTACACCCCACAGCAGGACTATAAAGGAGCACCACATTATAAAGAAAGAGTCTTGCCTGGAGATATTTACAGTTGACTTCACTGAGCTGCTATTTGTAGTTGTTGGGGGTTTTTTGGTATTTTCCCTCAGTTTTCTAAACTGTACTGTATTAAGCAATTGAGTGTTCCTACCAATATTGGGATGCTTCAAGAGGCGACAGATTCTAGCTTCTCTTTCCAGTTTCTGGTGATCTGCAACAAAGGAAAGCAAAACAGTTGCTTTTAGCATGAAGATTAACATAGTTCAGTGTGTTTACTATACAGAAGCAAAAAAAATACACCATCTGACGTAATCTTTTAAAAGTGCTCCCTTTATTTAGATCCATTCAGAATTCACATTCAAAATATTTGTAGTATTGGATTAGGTTACCACATCCAACCACTTTTTTGATGGACTACCACTGGCACTGTCCCATTAGAAAAATCAAGCTGCCAATTTACTGGGGACAACAGGAACTATTCAGGCCTCAGCCTAAAATTATCAGGTGATAAAGCACATTACAACATTAGTTATAAATATGGACAACCTGAGCCCATAGGGTTGCCTTAAATCCTACTTGCTAACAGCTTTAATGCTACCTAGGGCACTGAGTATACAGCTGGACACATGGCAACCCTCCTGATATTGCCAGCACTCCTGCCACCACCTGCTCCCACCATAACAGGATGCTCCAGGAACCTCCAATAACTAATGACCAGCAGTTGTTGTTTTGCCAGCAGGGTTAATCTCGCTCTCGGACCGATTATTCATTAACCTAACGATACCCTGCACATGCAGGTCCAGGTGTCCCATCTGTCAGCTCCTCTTTGCCTGGCCATTTGATTCTCTTTAACCTTCAGAGAGAGCAGCAGGCTGGAAGTCTGAACTTGGACCGAGCCCTAAGGACACTCCTGGAGATAAAATACTACTGCTTGTGTCAAGCTCCATTTTACTTAAGCAGCTTTACTTACACTTTTATACTATTTGCTCCAAACACAACCATTTTACAGCACTACTTCTGCTGCATTTTCTTTAGCACTAAGTAATATAGTACTTGTTTTTTATAACAAATAGGAGAGTGTCGGGGAGGTTCATACATTATACATGCTGGAAGCACCTGAAGGTCTTCAGGTATGTTAAAATGTCAGTGTCAGGCAGTATAAAACACACAGAGGTAACTCAGGCAATAAAATACATAATTTGGAGATAATAAAAACAGATGACTACTGTAATCCTATAATTCCAATAGACTTCTAGTGCATTTATCCTCACTTTTCTGCAATGTCTATGCCTTTTAAGAACACAGCTTCTGTGAAGCAAGAGGCAGAAAAGCAGTAGATTCAATTTTATAATATTAGCTAAAAATAATTTTACAAAATTAGAAGAGAAATCAACTAAAATACTCTTGGAGATGAGGCTCTTCTGCTAGTATTTCCACTAGCTCCAATTTGACTTCCAAGGATATTATAATAACCAGTCCTCCCTAGGTACTCAAACTTCAGATGTAACTCAAGTACCTCAGGTTATGTTATCTATGCAGTCCTAATTATCTGCGTTATTTTTGAGGTCATTCCTAACAACTGGAAGTAAAAATTCTTAACTGCCCTTCCACCCCGTAAAAACTCTAGTCCACACAGTAAGTTTTGAGTTGAAAAAACAGCATTTAGAGAATATCAAAAGTTCAATCTGCAAGAGAAGAGGGAGACACACATTGTCACTGAATCCAGTGAATTTCATGAGAGAAAACCAATTAAATCTGTATTTATGACACAAGAACTACTGTGCCCCTCCAGCAGAAGGGACACTAGGAAGGGAATGCTAAAGCCCTGTTCCAAGAGTAAAACAGTACCAGACTTCAGACACAAACCTAAAAGTGTCAAGGAAAACACCCCAAAAAGGCAGAACCAAGCAGTAACCATAATGGAATTGCTTGGAGACAAATTTTTTTATTATTTTTTTTTTCCAGAAAATATAAGCAGCATTTGTATTGGGCCTTTTCATGAATTGAGAAGGAAACTAAATCAGAACCACTGACTGCAAGAATAAAAAGACAGCAGAAACTGTATTTGGTATGAATGTTAACATAACATCAAAATACTGTGCCCTACAGCTGTCAGTAACATACGCTTTAACAACAACAACAAAAGGAAATACAAGGACCTTCCACTGAGGTTTATGTTAAGATTTTAAAATTCAGTTGCAGCAAGTTCAAAACACAAGCAGAGATGTATAGAGTTACAGCACCTTAATGCCCATCAGCTTTGGCTGTAACTTAACCTGGGGTTGACCAATTGCCATATTATACACAGCACACAGGGAGATGATCTGAAATGCATACTAAACTAAGCTTGTTTCAGAAGAAAGATTCTATACTACCTCAATCTATATTTACAGGATTAGCCAGCATAGCTAGAAACCTGGAAGGTGTCTGACAGTCTCCCATGAAGTGCTAAATACAGCCTGTGTCAACTCTTCAGGAATTACACAGATATAACAGAGCCCTTCATCTCTGACTTGGAATATAGAGTATAAACACTTGACATCTATTTGCTATTAATCACTATACCACAGCTTCTGAACTGACACTGGATATGATTAATTCCTCATATACACTACACATTTTCATTGGTCGTTTAAAAGTTACCATACTATACCCTAGTGCACCCACAGAGCTAGCAGACACCACCTGGGTAAGGCAATCTAGAATAGTGACCCATGATACAAATGTTCTTCCTGCTCCAGTGGACAGGAAGAAATTGAAACAAGATGAAAAAAACAGACAAGTAAACATGACTTCACAATTTCCTAGGTGAAATAAACTCTAAAACCAGATGGAGCTCTCTCATTTAACTGAAAACAACGGATCGAGTCTAAACCTACAAGAGGGTAATCCATGAAGTGATCCCAATCTAGTACAAGGATAAGCAATGAGATAGGTTTAATATTCAGCTCTAATTTACAGACAAAATAGAATGCTTAGATAACAAAAGCTGAACATTTTCAGGTATGAAGATAGGCTAAATTGTTATTGCATCATTTAAGAACAATAACTGCATGGATTAAAAAAGCATGCCTGATATTTTTTAAAATCACAATTAAAACATTATACTCAAATACGCTGCTGGATACACTGCAATATATGATGGTTACATTACTACGATTATTGTTGTTGTTATTATTATTATTGTTAATGTTATTGTTATTTGCATTATAATATTCCCAGTTTTAACTGGCATATTGACTGATGCCAATGAGGTGGCATCCAGTGTCATGTAAATTATAATAACAAGCTCTCTGTATTTACCCCATTCAGTTGCTTGTGTCAGAGCAGTTGCTCTTATACCCTTTTTTAAAAAAGGAAATTAAGGTGAATGCAGATACCTCACACCTTGCACATCGAACCATGAGGTAGAGAATGAGCATTAAATACTTGCTGAGTCAGGGATTTCAGTGGATGTTGAGGTCCAGAAGATGACATCTGCACTTCCAAGGAAATAAAGTACTCTTTCGTGTTGTTAGGGGAGTGTCAGAAACCTTCTGAATAAGTCTGAATATCTAAGTTTTTTGGTGGGGTAACCTAATGGAAATTTAACCTTGTGGGGTACCCATGACAACCGACTCTTGTTTCTTCAGCATGTTTCAGGAAATAATGCTCCTTTCTCCACTCCACTTATTTACAAGCACATCCAACTGCAAATGCTGTACATAAATATCTATTTCTGTTACCCTGTTTTCAGCCAGGTTTCAGTTACTGGTGACCTGAAGGCGAATGTCAAAGGGCAGGTCAAACCGAAATACTTGGAGCACTCAGCTCTCAGACGTCTGAAGCACAAGAAGGTGCGTTGGTGCACCAAGAGTTGTTCAGGAAAGAAGTGTCCTCCCATGACAAGTACAGCCAGAGAGATTACCTTGCAGGCAGAAAAACCCCACAAATCTGGAGAAGGGCTGTGGCAGTGTCTAGCATAAAACGTTTATGCTCCAACAGCATTAAAGAAAAATTAAATTCAATAGCTGGTCACTTACTAAAACCAAAAAGTTAATTCCTCTCATTTTCAACAGTATATAATTCATCAGCTATAACTGTGTTCTCCTGTCAGTATGAAAAGGGAAAAATTATTACCAGTAAGAGGAAGCCAAGCTTTAAAACCAAACATATAATAAAAAGGGAACATACAAATATGTATATATATACACACATTTGCTTCCTTTCCTGTCATATAATTATATATACTTGATTATAAAAAGGTCTCCTACAACGTCTACACAAGAAACTGTAAGAAAATTTAATGAAAAATACAAATAATACCCTAAAAGGCAGCCAAAGGCAGCCGTGCAAATGCAGAAGAAGGAATGCTCTACAAATTCTAGATTATTTTATGAAAGCAAGTTTCCATTTGTGAGCAATGGCATCTATCACAGCAACAGCTAGTTACCAAGACTGGAAAAAGATCACTGCCAGTGAAACACTGATATAATCAGAAGGTAGCCATGAGAAAAATACAATTTTATTCATGGAAAAAAAAGCTGCAGCCAGCTACAGTGAAACACAGCAAAGAAAAAGAAAAAAAATCCATTAAGAATTCAGCCCTTACAATAACTGATGAAATTCTGTGAAACCAGAAGCAAATCATACGGATGTGTATAATCTGGGGTACTGAGAGATGCTATGAATGTAAAGTCTTGAACTAATCCTAATTCAATATTCTAATAGAATAAAATCTTGTATTACCATTTATTATGTTTGCATCAGAAAATTATACTGTTTGTAGAGAGTTTATACTAGGTAGGCAAATGAAGTAACAAATTGTTTAAGTGATATCAAAATTTTACTTTCTTACAAAAATTTGCTATACCTATTTCTTGGATTAAGTCATAATATATTTTATAATTAAAGAGGGATATAATTAATATATTCACACAAATCTCCTCTACTGCAGTGTCATGATTCTTAATCCAAAATGCTGATCCTGCAAGACCATTCAAATGGAGTTTATCATCATGGCATAAATGTCTACCACTCACCACCTATCAACAAGATTAAAATTTCTCTTAAGCAAAGCCCCTTTCTAACAACAAATTTAAATAACTTTGGTTGTTATTTTATTTTTAGAGCCTGCACTCCTCAGCAAACAATGTAAGTGCATTTTCCCACTGCTAATTTTTATCTTTTTAACCCCTTGTATTTTCTGGACATTTCTTTTATTCCTCAGTA